ATGAGGTATGTATCAAAATGCAAAGATATTAAGTCAGAAATGTATGACTAACAAGGAAATATTAAAATAAATTATAGCTGTTATCTCGTGTATTTTATAGCGAGTACATATTTTTTATTGGACTCTATCATTACATCACTGTATTTTAAATTTGAATACCTGTTGACTATTATAGATATATTTTTAAATTATTATTATTATTATCACAGACGACCAAAAGTAAAGTATTGTAATACGTAGCTAATACATAATGTAATAGGTTCATTTTTATTTTTTATACGATAAAGGAACGTATTAGTATAGAATATATTAATACTAAAGTTAAAATAAGACTTGTAGAATTTTTTACCACAACTGTATTAGGAATATACATCTACCAATAATACTATAGTGTACAGATAGCCTAATGTATGACACACTTTTATTTTATTTAAGTTTAATTGTCTCTTGTTTTTTTTCTTTAATAAAAAAAATTTATTTTGGAGTAATATTGAATATAATGACATTTAATATGCTTCCATAAAGCAATGATATTTTCATAAATATCTTATTATTGAATTATTGTTCATTTAATTTACACACATCTAATAGATTAAAAATAACAATTATTAAGTGACTAGATTTGAAATCTCAAGTATGCCACTAATTTAAAAAGTCAATTATTATTTTTATCTCATGAATAATTTTGGATTTCCTATGATTTGTTATTTTTTATCACACATCAATATCGATGACAAAATTACCAGTGTGTAACGTAAACATATCGAGTTATCATAGGCGCAATTAGTTAAACATCGTATTTTCTTGTGTAGTCGTGTCAATGGGATATTGATTTATCACAGAATGATCCAATCTATTTTTCTCTATAACATCGACTGTTTGTTTATTTAACTCAATACATTTTATTAATAAATATTAGTAAGTCTTCATTTCCACTTCATTATGCAGATCAATGATTGCACCTCATCCATTCTGAGGACTAAATGATTGAGCATGTAAATGAAAAATATAAAATACAATTTTTTGGTTTCGAAATTTGAAATTAATATGTAGTTTCAATTATCATTAATAAAAATAAATTAATGAATAAATAAAGGTAATTACAGCAATAATTGTTTTTAAGGGGTTTGGTATAGGCAATTTAATTAAATAAATAAAATGCATAGTAATCATAATATGTTCCTATGTAATAATCAATGGAAAACATTTTGACTCCAAATTTAACCTACACTTACCCACTAATCATCTACTTATTATTTAGTAAATCGATATATAGTTTTAGCTATTTGTTTTTGTACTAGTATACGATATAAGTTATATCACGCATAGTTATAATTTGTGATAGACATTGATACATTATATGTTTAATATTGTACCTGTGTTTAATATATTTTACAATATCCGTTTGCATTTATTTTTAATTAATTCATTGTGAATCGTAAATAATAATAATATGTGCATAATGTTTAACATTTTAATTTCCCATCGATTAATATTTTATAAATTACATCAAGATGACTAAAATAATATTATATTTCGTTTAAATCATGTTTTGTTGAATTTTGAACTTTCATGTTCTAGAGTCAGAAAATAAATTGTACATCTATTTTCTATAGTTTTAAATTTGAAAAGTTATTTATTATAAATTTTGACTTCATAAAGAACCTTGTATAGTTTGTATACAATTTCCAAACCTAACTTAATCAAATTTAAACCGTTTTGAATTATCTACTACCAAATAATTTGCTATTTTTCGTAATTTTTTTTAAATGTTATATCAAAATTTGAACTTTAGTACTTAAAAGCGAAAAAATGTATGCCTATGTGTTTTTGATATATTTTAATTTCCTTGAAAAAACTCATGAATAATTTTGTTCAAAATTTTGTATAAAAACAATTATTAAATAAAATAGAAAAACCAATAATTTTTTCATCTATTTTTCGGTTTTCTAGATTTTTTCCGTGGACTTCTTATTTGTAAATAGTTTCTCAGTTTAGGGACCATCGGATCACCATGCTATGCTTGATTATATGACAAGCTGAATCGAAAACTTAGGTTATATGTAGGTAGTACCTAGATATAGATTAAAATGCATATTTTTTTCGTATTACACAATTTATATTAAATTTTGCATTACCGTGGAGGGCTTTACCCTTAAACCCCCAAAATTTATTTAAAGCATACACATAAATATAAGTTAGTCAAAGTTTCTCTATGAATAATATATAGTACGTTATTAATCTAAGTATACATAGTTAATAGTTAGTATAATATTTGTTACAGACAAAATGTGAACTATCCACAATACTAGGGAAAAAAGGCATGTTTCGGTTCTTGTCCGTGTAAAACTAATTGAGACCAATTTTACTTGGACAAACTCGTAGCGTCTTAAGTACTATAATATTAAATTTAAATAATTATAAAATAAATATTATTATTTAAATATAATTAAATATGATTAATACCTACAAATATAATAATATAACATGTAATTTTAATTTTAAAAATTAAAAAAGTTAACACATTTATTAATAAAAATACGACTAAAATATATTTTTGAGGTGCTTACATATATGATTAATTATTATCTTCTCGCCTGCGATATTATACCAATTAGACAAATTGTATTCTGTAGGTATATTTATAATATAAGGATTAGATAAAATACAATAATAAGAATAAATTGTATTGTCTTGTAGTCATTAAAAATCGTAATAAAACTTATGATAAAAGTCACAATAGTTTTGTTTGAATAAAATTAGTCATAACTAGATTTATCAGGGCAAAATCCAAAATATGACATTTTGCTCAAGTATCATGATTCATGAGCAATTATTATCGGTTATTTTAACTTTTGCCCGTAACACGTATTATATTATGCAGAAAAAATATTTTTACAAAATAAGTTAAAATGTATTAATATACATAAATCAATTAATCAAAAATAAAATAAAGAAAAAACTGTAAAAAAAATAGCTGACGATATTTAATTTCATATTACGCACTTAGCATTTTTTACTACACACAATTTTAGTCTCTAGTAATAGGTATGTATAGGTACATATGTATTATTACTAAAAGGAATACTGTTGTATACATAATTACACCTGTTGACTGAAGTTCACTCAAGTAGGTATATGTTATTTTAAAGCCTATTATAATACATAAAATTTACTATTTACATTATTTAAATATATATGTTAATCAAATAGGTACCCAATTTATTTTTTATGTGAACGACGAACGGTTACATATTTACAACTTTAAAATTATGTAAAAACATTTAACCGTAAATACGGATTATGACACTCATGTACGGGTAACGTATTTTTTTTATAGGTAATCTATTAGAATACTCATGTCTATTAAAATATTTATATACAATCTACAAGATGGAATCAATTTTATTAAATCCGACAACACGTTTTTATGTATATTTTTAAGCAAGTTTTCAGTTTATCAGGAATATCCAGGAACTATTCGAATTTTACCGGATCATTAAAGAATATTTTGGGCACTCCTGAAAAATCATTTAAAATACTCCGGTAGGTATTTTAATTTTAAATGAACGTGCCAGAAACGATCATTGCAGAAATACCCAAAGATAAACAATGACGATGATAATCTGATCGATAACCGCTGCATAGTTAATGGAGATCTGGAAAAAAGGGTTTACAGAGGCATATCGCCTTCAAAAATAATATCAAATTCTGAACAGAGAGAAATTCTATAGAATATAGTCTACTAATAAAATAATTTTAAAAACTTTCACTTCAGAAAAATAAATATTATTAATGTTTTTAATTAAATAATTTTTTAATAATATTTTTGGTTATTTTCTAGGAAAGAATGTAGTTTCTCTGTTAAAATATGTCATTTGTAAATTTACTGTAAAATGGGACAACGCACACCGAGCTTTAGGTATATACTAGTGGACATATATGCAAGATCCCTTACACCTTACACCTACGAATATCCAATATACGACGCGTGTTTCGCATGATTTTTATATGAACCTTGTTTGTTTTATTTTTTTTTTTTAATCATCGGGGATCCAATTAAAAAATTACCGTCAACTACCCAGTTCATAAATGATTTCTACATGTACATTAAAATAGATTTTACTATTCGATACCGGAGCAGACAATCAAACATAACCCAAACATTGTATTTACTGTTTTCACTTGTATTCGTTTAATGTGTCTACCCCCACGCATAATGCATTACTGCACTCATAATAATATGGTATAAGATACAAGAATTAAACAATATTACAAACGACATGCGACAAAATGGCCGGACGGAATAATATATTAATAATGCACGAGTATAATTTTAATGACCATAATAATATTATGACTAATAATATTACAGTATAGAAAATTGGTTCCCAAAATAGGACTCCGTCGCCGTCGACGCCGACGTGGCACGACCGTCGCACACTCGCACCGCGGTGTTGTATACCAACTGGTGGGGTGTTTTTTTTCTTCGCACCGGAAAATCGTCTGCCGAGCGTGTACAATAGTACGCTGTACGCCGTAGTGGATTTAACTGCACCTGTGGATTTTATTCGACTACCGTCTTACGGGTGCGCGGATCAGTGTGATCACAATGCGTATCCACAGGTATTACAAGCGACGGAAATGGTCGGTGCACGCGCTATAATATAGCACGACACGCAGTTGCCCATACTACGTCGACGGTAAAAAAAACTTATTCATTTTTGACCTGTAATCATGATACACGGACAGGTAGAGATACCTGCTGATGGTGCTGCCGCTGTTAGGTGTAACCATATATTATAATAATAATTTCATTATTACTGTACGCACATGAATTTAAATAAAATCAAATTGCCCGCAGTGTAATAGCGTGGTAACACGATAAAAATACGACCCACCTATTCCCCGGGTCTGGGGGCACCGGATAACCTTGGCGGTGGCGGCGGCGGCGGCGGCGTCGTCGTGGACGATACACTTTGATACACCTGGTCGCACTCGCGCACGCACTCGCAATGGACGTGGTCCGGCGACGTGAAGACGTGTAGAACGTAGAACGATCGCCGCGGTTATCCGTGGTTACTGGTTAGTAGCGAGAGCAGTCCGCAGTGTTGCTATAGTCAGGTACCCAACAGGAATAGATCGACGGACTCAACGTCGTCCGCACATATCGTGTGGGTTCAACCTCCGGTGTAGATCATCGCCGTCATAGATCATACCGTATAATATCGTCATCGTGCATTCGTGCGTTCGCAGCTGCACAGCATTCGACCGCGCGTCGTACAGAATAAAAAATATTATTTTTTTAAGTATTATACATTAACGATATTATTGTACCTCGACGTACCGGTCGAAATGTTCAGCGGCAAGTGCACGAGTGCGGCCAGATTGGACGGCAAGACCGCCATCATCACCGGTTCGAACACGGGAATCGGCAAAGTCACGGCCAAAGAGTTCTACAGGATCGGTATGAACAATATTATTATTGTGTTGTGCAGTTGTGCTGATAATAGTCGTCGACACTATCACGATGCCATTTACTTGGCACGGTTAACCGCGATGTATTCTCCACCACCCGTTTCCCGACCCCCCTCACCAGTACCCTTTACCGCAATCGTTCTCAGATGCTCAGACATTTTTCGCCAAACGCAACTCGAATAATCACGCGTTCGTGCGCGAATCTGATGTGTTATTTTACTATACACGTTGTAATAATAATAATAATAATAATAATAATAATAATAATAATATACAGCGACACCCCACGCGATTATTGATAATTTCTGCAAATTCGTTACGCAATTTCCTTTTTTTTTTTTTTGATTTGTCGTTCTTGTACCGTTTTGTTCAATCGATCACGCGCAGGAAATAATTGGAATTCCGTGCGGTGAGCGTCCGATTTGTAACGATACGATATTGATTTTTCGAGGGCGGTTTTTATGGAATATAAAATAACACACGTTCTATAATAATATAGACATGACACTAACAAGTAACAACACAAATATAATATTCGCCACCGAAATAAAATCGCATACGATCCCTTAGGGACCACCCGGACGTATGCATCTCCCCTATGCACGCGCGAGTGACGTTACCACAGCACACGATTCTCGAACGAGATAACATTGATATTAAACGATCGAATATTCTATTTGGCGAGTTTTCTTACGCGTTGTGCGTATTTAATTTCTAGCCTAATTTTGCACTATAACGAAACGAATAAACAATAAAAGTTTTCCGACGATTTATTGCTTGTTTAAATCGCACCATCAAAATTTAGTAATTAGCTCACAATATTTATTGAAATAATATAATAACAGATAGGTAATATCAGGGTTTTTCACCTGTATTTAAATTAAATAATGCACGTATTATTATATTTATAATATGTCGGAAAATGATAAAAATGATATTGTTTTTCGGATAAACTCAGTTAATTGCTTATCGCAATAGTAATAATTATAAAAACGACAATATTCGACACGAAAATCAGATAAATATTTGTATTTTTTTCTTCTATTAATATTGATAAAAATGGTAATAAATAATAATTACCTTTTAAAGCTTTTAATTTAATTTAATATTTTGTTATTGAAAAATATTTATATCTTATATGGATTATATTCGAAATTGCTACTTAAATTAATGCTTTTTAATTAATGATATTATTTTTTTACATATTATTTATACTATATTAACTTAAATGAGAAGTGTCCCTTCAGTATACTGTCTTTTTAAATGGTTGGAATCTTTTTCCCTTTACAATGTAAAGAAATATGAAATATGTAGGTATTGTAAGTATGAAGATATGACATAAATACTATATTTCGTTTTCGACATGACATTATGTCTATAATTTATTAAATATCTCCCCCCCCTAATAAATACTCTGGATCTGCGATTGACATAGTTGCACGTTTAAAACTTTTACAACTCAATTCGCACTAAATATAATAAAATTCTTATAGATACGAGTATATCCCACTACCAGCCTTACCGCCATGGTCAAAACGGTATTATAACCTATTATAAGACTCATATACCTAATTATATTTAACTTTTTTTGTATGCATAGATAATAGCTACGGTATTAGTAAACCACGTTAAATATTTATATTGTACAATATCGATTTTTCTGTCTATATTATATGTACTAACCATGTTATCAATCTAAGAAGTTATATAACATAAATAATATGTTATTTAGTCCAAATGCAATGAAGGTGATTAAAATAATTCAATAGCCTTAGATCATACATATTATAATTATAAGTTTTAATAGGTATTTCGTGTCAAAAACAAATAAAATTCGTATTTCACATTTTATTTTTACCTCTTAATAGCCTACAACTAATCCAAAAATATATTTTATGTGATGGTAAAGTGTTGTTTAAAATCAAAATGTCTATACAATGCCATTATTTTGTTTAAAAATTACTGCCGAAATATAAAAGTACATCTAAATTTTACAATCATGAATTTTATAATTTTGTATTCATTATTAAACTTTAAGAAATGTATTAAAATAAAAACAAATCAAACAATTTGTTTTAACAGAAATAAATTAATAACTTCAAGTTGAATTTATGGGGGGTTATCAAATGTGTGTATAACTTCTTCAATTTTTGTCACTAAACAGTATAGTAGCAAAATGAGTAGATATAAGTATTGAGTTAAGCTTTTGAATATTTTTTTTAGTTTTCTGAAATAATCAACATCACAATGATGTAAATAAATATTAAAAATGAAGACAAATTATAAAATTGAAAACAATTTTAATCATATATATATTTTTTTATTAAAGCTATAACAGAAATAAATAATTGTGTCATGAAAGGTTTAAAATTAAATAATTATACAAGCATAATGCACAATAATATCATTCCAATAACATTAGAAATTCAAATTCTTTTCAGTTTTATTTAAACCAAGGCCAAATATTTTGTAAACACATTATATTTTACTGTATATTATATATTGCACATTTATACATAATAATTGCATTATAATAACGGATATCCTGGTTCCCGCTAGAACCCGATGTGTTATAATATGCACTCAATTAGTTCACCGCATTATATGTGATAAGAGAAGCTAATTATTATGACTAAGACAAGCCTTATTTACAATTATTTAGATACATTTATCTGTTAAATATATTAATATATACATATTTATATTTATATATAAATAAGTTTGATAATTATTTGATAACGACTAGTTGAGTAAAATGTTCTATAATAAGTAATAACATAAATTGTAATATGGCATAAATCAAAATATTATTTTTTTAACATATTTATTTTAATTTGTACAGTCTGTAACAGAAATATTATTTAACATACAATAAACTATATTATAACCATTTATTTCTTAAATAAATTGATTATGAATTTTAGTTGATATTTTTTTCTAATAGAAAAAGTTTTAGGTTAGGTTAGATTAAAATTAAGAAAATAATTTACATAGAGGTATATCAAATAATTAATTATAATTTGTAAACTGCAATGCATAACAGCTTTTATACTTTATTATTAGAATATAATATTAAACAACATTTATACTTAAAAAGTAATTTATATCAAATAAGTTTAGATATGCCAATAGAAAATAACTAAAACATATAATATCATAATAAAAAATAAAAATTCACAATCAACCTGTATTATACGAAAATAAATTATAAATTATGATAGAGTAGTAAGTGTACTGTTGTATACAAATTGAAGTTTATAAAAACAACAATTTGTTACACTTTAATATATATTTTTTAATTATTCAATTGATTAATGCAAAATTAAATTGCAGGTGCTAAGGTTATTGTAGCATGCCGAGATGTTAAAAAAGCGGAACAAGCTGTTACAGAGATAGTGGCCGATGTAAAAGGTGATAATTTAGGACAACTGGTCGTAGAGGAATTGGACTTGGCATCTTTCGCTTCGATTAAACGCTGTGCAAAAAATATTTTGCAAAAAGAAAAAAATATTCATCTCTTAGTGAACAATGCTGGTCAGTGTGTATGTGTGTGAGATTAGCTTTATAAGGGCTCAATGTAACATACGATATTGTAGGGGTAATGGCGTGCCCTAAGAGTAAAACCCAAGATGGCTTTGAAACACAGTTTGGCGTGAATCACTTGGGACACTTTCTATTCACATCACTACTATTGCCAAGAATCCGAAATTCAACTCCGGCTCGGATCGTTAACGTTTCATCGATGGCTCACACAAGTTAGTTTCCACGATTGATAAAAATATTGATTTTGACGTAAATAGGTATTAGGTAATTGTTTTAATATCAAATGCCTATTTTATTGAAAACATTTTTTTGGAAACATTAGTTCTATTCGAGATATCGAGTGTTCATTATTAAATGAATCACTCCGTATTTAAAAATTCAATATAACTTTTATAAAGAATTTAAGCATAAATCTAATTTAGCGGCCATGCTAATTTTTCATTTTTTTTTTTTTTAAATCCTATGTAGTTAAGTATGCTGAAAATGATAGTGAAGTTAGAATTTTTCGTACGGACTTAGTTTCAGAGTTATAGCTATTTTAATTTGGTTAATAATTATATATATATATATATCTGTTATGTTAATTACTTAATATGTTATTCAATAGTGTAATGTATATAGGTCTCCCGGGTTCGACGCTCAGTGAGCGCTAATAACATTTTTGCACTTTTTCTAATTATTTTTATGATAATTAATACTAGTAATTATCCTGTAACCTACTTGAGGTGGTGTTGCATAGTAAGTCAAGGAATATTTTTGATTTGCGGAGCAGAGCGACGGCGCCGAGGAGCGTAGCGACGAGTGCCGCAAAACGTGTAATCACTGCCCATGCTACGACATAATTTAAAATAAATCGCAAAGACCTCAATTAGGTCATAGGATAATTACTACTTATTGTATCAGTTATCATAAATTAATTAAAAAAAGAGTATAAATTATATTAGCGCTTACCAGGGACCATTAGACTACGAGTATACATTATGCTATTGAGTAATATATTAAGCTATTAACTTAACACATATATGTTAACCAAATTCAAATAGCTATAACTCTGTAACTAAGTCCGTCCGTAAAATTCTGACTTTACCATAGTTTTCAGCATACTTAACTACATGGGTTTCAAAAAAAAAAAAAGTGAAAAATTTGTGTGGTCGCTAAACTAGATTTGTTCCGGAATTTAATATATAAATTATCTAAATTGTTATTTCCTTTTTTATGTAGGAGGTGTAATTAATTTTGAAGACATAAATTACGATGCAAATTATTCGGCCATGGTAGCTTACAGCCAAAGTAAACTGGCCAATGTGCTGTTTTCAAAGGAATTGTCAAAAAGGCTCGAAGGTAATAAATACGTTCTTGGTGATATTTGATTTATTTTGTGAGAAAACAGTAGAGGTAGTAATAATAATAACAATAATAATAATAATAATAATAATACACATAGGTACCGGGGTACATGTGTACAGTTTACATCCTGGCCTCGTAAAAACAGAATTAGGTAGAACAATCGACCAAGTGTACTTTCCAGGAATGCGATTCATAGCTCGTTTCTTTCTCTATCCGTGGATGAAAACCCCAGAACAAGGAGCTCAAACTACTTTACATTGTTCGATTGACGAAAAAGCTGGAGAAGAAAATGGTCTCTACTACAGGTTTGATATTTTTATAGCATTCGGATTTGTACAATACTTATCATTACATTTAAAAATAATACATATATTTGATATACTATTACTTTTTAGCGATTGTAAGGTAAAAGAACCTTCAGCATTAGCCAAAGACCCAGAATTGGCCAAAAAACTTTGGGAAACTAGTATAGAAATGGTCGGCTTAAAGGATTACGACATGTTTAAATGCAGTGGAGACTCGCTCCCCGAACCTTTAAAAGACGTTTGAACGAGAAATTCTCATCGTTTTATAATACAAATAGTTTTATTTTATTTTTACATATAGTTATTTTAATCTGTACTTATAAGTTTATTAATTTTATATAAGCATACATTTTCATTTTTATAATAAATTAATTTTTCTATTGGAAAGTTTTGGTTAATTAAGTAATTTTTATCAGTCATCTCAATTTTTACATTCAGAATAGGTTGATTAATACAATAATTATACTCGTATATATTAATTTTACAATAATATGTATATTTATTTTTATTTTTTTGTCAGTCAACAGACATAAGCCATTGAAGCAGTAAGTTAAAAGTATAAAAATTACAGTATTTTTCAAATTAATCGATGAAAATAGCAAAAAAATTATGTTAAAACTTTTTTTTATTCTAAAACGTAATTTCAAAAACTCAAGTATTGAATTTTTATCAAATATTTGTGTAAGTATTTCTAGATGATATATTCTATATACATTCAAAATTCAAATTTTATAAATATTTAAATTAATTTTAAGCTTTTTATTTTATAAACCTATTTACACTTTATAAGTTATAAGTAAGTAACAATTAACAACTATAGTGTTATTATATAAGATAATATTGTAATGCGTTATGCAATTTATTTTGACAAAAATTAGTTCAACCTACCGTGTCACTATAATAAAAAAATAAATTATCAACAGAAATATAAATATATAATAAAATATCTTTAGAATAGACGGTTCAAAAATGTGAAAATATTTTAAATAATATAGAATAGCTGCTAGAACGTCTATGTTTAGAATTATTTTTCATACACAATAATTTATCATTGAATTAAAATTTAACATGATATCCATTTCAGTTACATATACTCATTGGTGCGGGACGCTATATTTTACAGCAAGGCGACTTCATTGATGGTTTTTTTAAAACACTATTCGTTTTATATAATATCAGTCAACTATGCCGTTTTAAACTCCATGCAGCATAATGGACATTCTACTTAAAAACCATGTTTATGAGCTTATCAATAATATGAATACATAGGTTGTAAAAATTTTATTTAGTGATCTAATTCGTTTAATTTCTTCACACTTATTTATTAGAACATTTTTTGTAAATTTAATTTTTCTCAAATATTCAATAACTTGCCATACGTATAACCCCTTTAAAATTAACATAAAATTAAAAAATCTACAAACTTATAAGTTAAGGCTGAGTACACTTTTAACTAACAATTCTGATTAAGTATAATATTTATTTATAAATCATTTTTAGACTTCTAGCTAAAATACACATCCGATCGTTCAAATATTTTTATATTTTTTAAAAAATATACTAAAAAATACCTATATAAAGCTTCTTTTTCTTTTTTTTTTCTTTTTTTTATTAACAAATAACATTTACAATCTATACATATAAAATACAATAAGCAAATAGGTTAACAATTATAATAGTGACTTTGAAGACTTGTGAAGGGAAGCTAACCAGTGATAGGACCCTTTTAAGTTGTCACAATTAAGACAGGGAGAGGTGTTTCAGTTTAGGAGGTCGCGACACCAACGTATTTTGAGGTGACGAGGAGGGTTATCTGGAATTATGGCTGAGTGTTGGTTTGCAATCAGAGGATTTGGATGATGAAGTAATTTGGAATGAAACTTTTTATAGTGGGTTTTCAACTGATTTAATGTTTAAGTCTTTGTGAAGGGTGTGGTTAGAAACATACCAAGGAGCTGACATTATTGTGCTGAGGGAAATGGACTGAAATGCTTCAATTCTTTTAATTTGGCTTGGTTTTGTACAACCCCATATTTGGGCTCCATAAGACCAGATTGGTCTTAACATTGACTTGTAAATAATTATTTTATTATGGATTGGTAGTTTGGATTTCAACATAGGACGTAGTAAATGGGATCTTGAATTGAGAGGCTTTCTTTTGGATTTAAAATGGGGACCCCAAGTTAGTCTTTTGTCTAAAATTATACCTAGGTATTTAACTTGAGCCAAGGAGGGTATGAAAACTCCTTGAAAGAAGATAATAGGTTTGTTTTTTTTATTGAGGGTAGTAAGTACGGATTTATTGGCATTGATTTTAATTTTCTAGTCGGAGGTCCATTTATCAATAAGGTCAAGGTGGAGTTGAAGAACATTGAATACTTCTTTTGAGCTACTATTTGGGGATAAGATGGAGGTATCATCGGCGTAGGTGGCTAAGAGCGTGTTTTGAGTTGTGGGGATGTCTGATGTGAAGATGTTGTAAAGGTCAGGAGAAAGATCACTACCTTAAGGGACTCCGGCTCGAATAGGAAAAAGAGAAGAAAGAGAATTACCGTGACGTACTTTGAAGGTACAATTTTCAAGGTAGGATCGAATTAATAGGTATAGGGGCGTGAGAAGAAATTGTTTGATTTTGTAAAGCAGACCAGTGTGCCAGACCCTATCAAAGACTTGCGCTACATCAAAGAATATTCCTGGGCAGTATTTTTTATTTTCAAAAGAGGAAGAAATTGTGTCGACTAGCCTATGAACTTGTTGTATTGTGGAATGTTTTGTACGAAATCCAAATTGGGCATTGGGTATTATTTTTTGTGTTTCTGTGAGTGGTCTTAGCCTTTTCAAAACGACTTTCTCAAATAATTTACCTAAAGTTGGAAGTAGGCTTATAGATCTATATAAAGTTGGTACATTAGGGGGTTTACCTGGTTTGGGTATGAAATTATGATGGATAGTTTCCAGATGACAGGAAAATAAGACAATCTTAACATAGAGTTGAATATATATGTAAGCAAGACAATAAAATTGTTTTTTTTGGGAGATGTTTTAGGATTTTATTCGTTATCAAGTCATGCCCAGGGGATTTGTTGGACTTTAACCTTTGTATAGTATTTAAAATTTCACTCGGAGAGACACGTTTGATGGGACGAGACATAGGTAATGGGACATCAATAAATTTATTTATTTTATCAAAATGAGCGGTATTAGTTACAATGTTTTGGTGAGGTGTGAAAATATTCGAGATATGTTCCCCAAAAAGATTTGCTTTTTCAAGATCTGAAATTGCAAGCGAACCGTCAGCTTTTTTAATGGGACTAGAGAATTTTTTTAATTTGAGCAAGCTTATTGTGGTTTTCCATAGAGATCCATCATGAGTATTTAAAAGTTTAAATTTTTTATCAAAAAGATCATTTTTATATATTTGGATTAATTTTTTGATGGTATTTGACAGATTATTGAGGGTTGACTTATCGGAAAGTAGTCTTGATCTTTGCCAACGGGAGCGTGTCCTACGTTTTTCTGCAATTAAAGCTTTTATATCAGGGGGTAAAAGATAATTGTTGTGTATGTGTTTAGGGTGACAATTCGGGTTAGGAGGATAGGAGCACTCATAGACTGCTGATTGGATTGAACTGACTAAATGTTGAGCTGCGGATTCTATTTCGTTGCAAGACTTAAGTGAAATTTTTAAGTTTGTATTGTTTGCTAACGACGTGGAAAAGTGATTCCAGTTGACTGGACCTTTGGAAAGAGAGGGACGAGGAGAAATAAAAATTGGTGGTTTCATAATGTTTAGCAGAACTGGTGAGTGATCTGAAGACAGATCACATATATTTTGAATGCTATGATTTATATGGTTTGGGATTGACGTTATAAAATCAAAAAAAAAATCAAGTAAATCGGGTTATCTGTTTTGATGAATTGCCCAGTAGGTTGAACCAGGAGAGGAAATGACTGAGAGCTTGTTCATTTGGATGGAATTGAAGAAGATTCGACCTCTAGGGTTTTCGACACGACTACCCCATAATAGGTGTTTTGCGTTAAAATCACCACCAGCTATGAAGTTGCGACCTAATGAGGATAAAAATTGGTTTAGAAGTATCTGCGATATACTTGGCCGAGGAGGACAATAGACTGCTGAGATAATTATAGGAATATGATTTATTAAAATTGAAACGTGTGTTGCTTGGATAGTGGGGAATTGAAAGCACGGTAGGGGATAATGTTGAATTGAAGATGATATTAAGATAGTGGAACCGGCGTGAGATGTCCCATTGGGGTGATTGGTACTGTAAACATTGTAGCCGGGAAAGAAATGTTTAGAATTATTTGTATAGTGGGTTTCAGTGATAAGAGCTGCATCAATTTGATTTTCTAAAAGAAAGTTTAATAGTTCGGGTTCTTTTTGTTTAAGGCCGTTAGCATTCCAGAGAATGATTTTAAGATTTTAATCGTTAATTTGATTATTTATCATTATTTATAATTAATTTATTAATTTCTGTGGTAAGTAGTTGAATTAGGGGATTAATGAGTTGTTTGAGTTCTATTAAGAAGGATAATAATTGATTATTTGATATGTTATCGGGGGGATTGGATTGGGGTTCGGTTTTATTTGAATAACTTTGGTTTTGAGGATTTTGGGTAAGATTAGGAAAAGTTTTATTATCAGTGATGTTAAGTGGGGCGGAAAGAGTCCTTTCACTGGATTTAATCCCCTGTTTGTTTACATTAGTGTTATAGTTCACATAATTTTTAGAATTTGAGTTTGACTTTAGATTGAAACGTTGTAGGCTTTTGTGGACTGAACAGTCGCGGTAATTCGCTGTGTGGTCACCTCCACACAAGGCACAGGTAATAGATGTATCTTTTGATTTGGTACACTGTTGGATAGGGTGGAAATCGGCGCAGTGAACACGTCTAGGAGGATGAGCACAATAACTTTTGGAGTGTCCGTACTCCTGACAGTTGGAGCATTGAATGATTTTTTTTTTATGGGGCTCTTCGACCATTATTTTAGTGTGGAGTAATGATGTTTGTTTGAATATATCGTTGTTGATTTTAGCAGGTTCTAGGTCAACAAAAAATATAGGAAGGGGGCGTTTGGTAGATTAGTGAATAATATTCGTGACTTGACGGACTGAGTAGCCGATTTCTTCAATAGCGACGCCAACTTCTGAGGTTGGAGTTGAGGGGTGAAAATTGCGGATAACAATACGAAAAGCTTTATTTTCACGGGCTTGATAAGTATGGTATTCTGCTTTACCTTGTTTTAAATATTTAATGGCCTCTCTATATGAGTCGGAGTTGGTGGTGCTAATTTTTAAATTGTTGGCTGATGATT